CCATTGCACTCCAGCCTGGGTAACAAGAGCGAAACTCCATCTCAAAAAAAAAAAAAATAAAATAAAATAAAAAAAAATAAAAACGTTGTTGTTGAAATGGCATTGCAGTTTATGGCCCAGGCTGATCTTAAACTCCTGGCCTCAAGTAGCTCTCCCACTTCAGCCTGTCAAAGTGCTGGGATTACAGGTGTGAGGCACCACACCCGACTCTGATCATTTCTAATTAGGCAACACAATCATGTAATCATGCAATCTAGAAAACTTGAAGCCATAGGAAAAATTTAAGCTGGTAACCAGATGCTGGCTGAGCATTGTATGTTCTCTGCTTTCTAAGAGAATAATTCCACCGCCCCCAACCCCCAACCAACTGCGATGGAGTCTTGCTCTGTCACCCAGGCTGGAGTGCAGTGGCACGATCTTGCCTCACTGCAACTTCCGCCTCCTGGGTTCAAGCAGTTCTGTCTCAGCCTTTCAAGCAGCTGGGATTAAAGGTGCCTGCCACCACACCCAGCTAATTTTTGTATTTTTAGTAGAGATGGGGTTTGACCATGTTGGCCAGGCTAGTCTCAAACTCCTGACCTCATGATCTGGCCACCTCAGCCTCCCAAAGTGCTGGGATTACTGGCGTGAGTCACCGCGCCCGGCCGGGAGAATGACTCTTAAGGGCAAGGTGCAGAAATGACTGGAGAGTTTCCCACCACCTCTCAGGAACAGGAGTAGAAGAAAGCAGGGAGAAAATCTCTAGGTGCTATTATATATTTCAAACATCACTTTTTTGCATAATAACCAAACACTGAGACAGCAGGCATCAGGGTGCCATGAAGTACAACACAACCCCCACTTCCGTGCTTAAAGAGCTTTGAGAGAGATGTGCCTGTGGACTCCAGGAATGACACGATGTTAGCTGGCAGACACCTCAAAGATCCTCTGATGTCAACACATTGGGAAGGGGCAGGTGAGTGGAAGGGGCTTTCCCTTCCACTCACAGTGAGTAACAGACCAAGGGACTAGCGCTTGGGTCCCCTGGATCTGGACTGTCCGTTCTCTATACTTCATCACACTGACTTCCACGTATTTGGATAGCCAGATCAGTCTTAGGAAGCCAGAGGGTTGTCATGACAGCAAGAGGTAAGGCATCATGGAAAGTTTGGGAGCGGCAATTCAGGAATGTCACTAGCAGTTCATTGTTTTTTTTCACAACCAGGTGCTATTATATTTTTCAGACATCACAGTGGCTGGAAGCAATAGGGTAGAAACAGGTGCCATCGCTTACACCAGGTTCTTTGGGGACCTTGACATCAAGACTGACAGGTCAGATCTTTGGTCACAGGGAGAAGAGTGCCAGCTCACCCAGAAGGCAGAACAGCCAATGGCCATGCCCAGGAAAGGCAGCAGTGAGAGTTGTGAAGGAGAACCAGGGCTCTGTCCCAGTGTCCCAGCCCAGCTACCCAAGTAGAAGGTGGAGCGGCATCTTCTCTGGCTGAACCTTGGGCAGCGGCTGCTCTGCCATGTTGTCAGGCTTCTTCCCCCAGCTCCATGATGTGAAGACTGAGGTGGTCCCTCCAAGCCCCACTCAGCAAGGAGGACAGGGCTGGTGGATCCTCCAGGGTCAGATGGGGAAATAAAAGAGTCTCATTCTTGAGGGGAAAGCTGCACTTCTCCACGGCACGCCTGGTGGTGCCAGGGGTCACCACAAAGAGGCGGCAGAGCCACGGCCCACCGGCCACTTGGCAGACTGGTTGTCTGGTAAAGCTTTTCAGGGCTTGGCACAGGGCACGGTCCTCAGTCCCACCCATGTCCACCACCTCCACTGGTGCCCCCATGCCTGGGAGGTGAAGGAGGTGCCGGGGAGGCATGTAGGTGTGGGTGAAGAGGAGTGTGTAGTGGGTAGGCACGCTTGGGAGCACAGGGGCGTGGACCACTTGCTCCAGGTACTCTAGGCCGGGCACCAGGCCCCCCTGATGTAGGCAGCCAAAGAAGAAGGCACCGAGGGCATTGAAGAGGACCACGGTACCCTTCCAAGGCACAGGTTGGGTCTGTGGACTACAAAGCAGGACTAGGGGGACCAGGAGGGGAATCAGGAACCGAGCCTCCTGGTGGCTAAAGGCAGACAGCAGGACCAGGGGCGTGAAGTAGAGGAGAAGGAGATACAACCTGGGGCTGGACAGCAGACTCCGGGCACACTGCGCCCTCAGAAGGCTCCTCTGTGCACAGGCCGGAAGGCAGACTTGCAGCTGCTGCCACGCGGCTTGCAGGGCCTGGGCATGCAGCATCCCGAAGAGCAGGAAGCCATTGACTGCCAGGTGAGTGAGCCGCACATGTGTGCCATGCCTTGCCAGGTTTTGGGGATTCAGGTTGTAGTGTAAGAAGTTAACAGGTGTAAGGACAAGGGTACTGGATGTAGTGGGGCTGGAGAAATACCAGCTGTCCGTGGCCACGAACACCGCTGCTGTGAGGACCGCCCCTGGCAGCAGCACCAGAGCCTCTCGGGTCAGGGACTTCAAGCCAGGGTTTGTGGCTCCACGAGTGCCCCAGAGGTAGAGTGGGACCACAGCAAAGGCCAGAAAGGTGGGCCGGTTGAAGAAGCCAGCAGCCATGATGGCTCCAAGAAGCCAGTTGTGCCACCACCGACCTGGCGCAGGCTTCTTGGGTGTGGGGCCCCACATAACATGGGAGGATACCAGCACCAGCAGCCACGCCAAGAGCAGTCCCTCGATGGTATTGGAGAAGGTCCTTGTGTAGAAGACCAGGGTGACGTAGGAACCAGACAGCAGGACCAGGGCGTTCCAGCGATCTGCCCCCCACAGTGGGGCCAGGTGGTACACCGCCCCATCCAGGGCAAAGGAGAGGGCAGTGAGGAGGAGTCGGGGCCCCACTAGCAGCACATAGCCACTCACCAGGCCAGGCCACAGGCCTAGCTCTTCCCAGAGCCTGAGCAGCCAGAAGGTAGAGCCAGAGATCAGCAGGGGGAAGACCACCGTGCGGCAGGAGCTGCTGGGGTAAAACTCCCAGGGCCGGGTGGCCTGAACGCCCAGGATGTCCTCTGCAGAGAGAGAGAGAGAGAGAGAGGCAGAGGTGAGCCAGTACCAAGCTCAGGATGTAGTGGGCAAAATTCGAGGATGGCACCCAACATTTTCTACCTTTTGTTATGCCTGCCCAGCCTAAACCCTGGGACTGTGCACAGAATGAATCCCTCCCTCCCTCCCTTCCTCCCTTCCTCCCTTCCTGATAGGCTGCCTGTCACCCAGGCTGGAGTGCAGTGGCAAGATCATAGCTCTTGCTATGTTACTCAGGCTGATCTCAGACTCCTGGCTTCGAGCCATTCTCCCACCTCAGCCTCCTAGCATGCTGGGATTACAGGTTTGAGCCACTGCACCTGGCCCACAGGATGGATTGTACTCCTGTGATTAGGTTACGTTATACAGGGGCACTGACTGTAAAATAGGGAGACTATGGGGTGGGCCAGACCTAATCACACCAGCTCTTTAATAACAGAGTTTTTACCATCTGGATGCAGAAGGGGCAGTCACATTCAAAGCATGAGAAGGATTTGACATGCCACTGCTGGCTTAAAGATGGAAGAGGCCATTGGCTAGGAATGTGGGTAGCCTCTAAAGCTAAGAGCAAAGAAACCACACCGTAGTTCCACAGCTGCTATCAATTAGACTCTGCTGGAATTAGAGAGCTTCCAGACAAGAACTCAGCCCAATCCATATGCTGATGTCCACCTTGTGAGCAGAGAGCCCATGCTGCCCTTCTGATTAATAGAACTGTGAACTCACAAATGGCTGCAGTTTTAAGCTGCTAGGTTTTTGATGATTCATCACGCAGCAGCAGAAACAAGAGTAGGGAAGCTCAGAGTGCAGAGGGCAGGAGAAACTTCCCTGGGAGAGGGAGCAGTGTGTCCTGGGAAGAGTGTGTGGGAAGTGTGCAGGTGGGGGGAGGCTTAACCTCTTCTCGGGGCTCCAAGATCTCA